GATTATTTCCTGCCTCCATCTGTGAATATGATGTGAACTAAATTTAATGTGAAAAAAATCTATATTTACCACTGGTTCCCCCCACAACTTAATAGTTTCTCCCCCATAAGTAATACACTGGCAACAGAACTAACTACTAAGACATGAGTATATGTATATATATATATTACCTAAGTGTTATATGATGGGTAAGTTAAATAGATATTTTAATAAATGTTTTAAAACAATTTTGTTTCTCAATACTCAAATATTCAATTAACTAAATCATGATATAGTAATGTGTCATTTAAAATTATATAATTTGGAAATACTCTCAAAAAAATTAGTTAACATATTTTTTAATAAGCTATTGTATGAACAGTTGGCTTCACATGATGAATTTGATATCAATGAAGATACCATTATCCACAAAGCTGTTGGTATTTTAAGAAGTAAATGCACAAAGCAAAATAACCAGCATGGCAAGAGAGAGATATTTCTTCTGATAACATCTCCTTAGAGTCACTGATGAAATTTTCTGACCCTTTGTTGTATTGGATGGCTGACAGACAAAAATTTAGTTTCAGGGGCTTTGGATATTACATGGTAAGACATCATTAAATGTCTAATATCATGACACTCTCAAACAATGTTTTCCCTGAAGTATTTGCGTTTAGGTATTTGCCTACACCTTGAATTTGAAAGCAGGAAACTAGTCAAACATGTTTGTATATTGTGCATCACATTGTGAACTTCGTTTCTTAACATCAGCTGCAGTGCATGTCAGCCAAATTCAAACTACACTATCAAGATGCTTTGTTCTGTATCAACTTCAAACCAAAGAAAATAATTGGAAATGGTTTTTCAACATTAGAGACAACTGGGACCAAAATGAGAGAATTGTGGATGGAAAGTGCATGATGCATGCAGTGACCAATATCATGGTACCTCTTTGGATAAACATCAGTGATTCTGCACCATGTATTCCTCGAATTCAATAGGTCTCGATAAGTTTCATAATATTCAACAGATGTCAAGTGGAAATTTATTGAAAGTCTTTCCATACCATCTGAGAGACCAGAACCTGTCTTAGTACCTTCCCAATAAATGCGGATCTTGAAGTTGATAGAAAAGATGAATACAATGAGGCATGCACTATGGAAATATTGTACAATATATTGCACTCTGGCAAATTATTTGATGCACGGGGACAGAATGTCCAACCTCAAGCACTGTACCATACAAGTGACAGGTAGTGCAGATTTCCAATATGTCTACTGTGGTCTTCTGTTTTAATGGTCCCACAAAATGAGTCTGCCTTAATAAATGCTACTCTACTCAGATTCAAGGAAGACATTTATATGTTTTGATATCAGTCTTTTAACAAAGTTTATTTAAATTGTTTAAGCATATCCAGATGAACTTTCAAGAGTCATACCTATAGAAGGTGTGATGCATTTCTTAATGTTTGTCTTATCAGGAATTGGAGATGTGTGGCTAAGACAGTTCTTACAAGATTCTGGCATATTTGCTCTAAATACAACACAGCAAATATTAACAAGTCTAAACTCTATACAATGAAACTTGTGGACAAAGTTTTAAACTCTTGTTTCCTTCTTAAATTCCAAAAATTGTTCAAGAAAAAATTGAGTTCGAATACCAGTTGAGGCTTGAGCTTCTGGAAGGCTCTCTTTAAACAAAATTATTGGCTGCCGAGATAGATATATTCACAAGGACCAAGGAATCTATCAAATCAACTCTCCTTACTCTGGTTCAACAATTTTAAATGGAAGGAACAAGTTTATCTCCAACTTTTGGATTTTGGGACTAAATTCTTAATCAGTCATGCTTCCTCTAGAAACATATTGTACCCCAAAGAATGTTAGATAGTCTGTTTATCAGACATCAAAAAGAGAACTGCTGAAACTTTTCTTTGCATCACATTATACAAAGTACATGTTTGTTCTTATATTGTTGAAGTGTCTACCAGATGAATTGAAACTGGATTTCACGAAGGCTTGTTTGTGGTGGAATTGACTGATGCAAAGTTCAACAATGCCTGGCCTTGATTATACACTAAAATCTGCAGAAAACAAAGCATTGAAAAGCAGTGGTGAAATAATTAGTTTCACATTAAAAAGAAATACTCTGAATTGCTGGTTCCTTGCAAGCCCTGTGATATTAATATACTCCAAAGATTTTACTGTCATGTTACAAAACAAACACATGAAGAACAGCATCAAGGAAAGCACATGTCCAAGTCAGAAGTAAATAGGTGGAACAGAGATGTGGAGAGAATGAGCAATAAGGAACATTCAGTGATCCCTTTACTTCTGAGCCATTAGAATACTAACTGGATAGAGAACAGCCTGATTGGAGGGCTGGAAAAGGGATCCATGATGGTATTAGCATATTTGTCCATGAACAGTTGGTTCTTTCTGAGGAATGTGAGACACAAAATGTTTTTAAGATCCAGTATATGAACAATGTCTGAACTGAGGAAATCTGTGAAAGTTCACAACAAGAATGTATCACTCAATAGAGAGGTAATGTACCTCAGATTAAATGGCTGTGAATGTATTAAAGTATATATGAATTCAGAGAATTCTTTCTTTTAAAAATTCACCAATGCTACTTGGTATGTTTGTTGACAATGCTTTCCCTTGACATGCATAAAATTACATTTTATGCACAAACTTGATTATCTTCAAACTAGGGATAAAATTGTATCAATGACTGAGGCAGATAACATTATATTTGATAAGTATCACATCATACAAAAACTTACAAATCAAGGTAACACAAAAACTGATGTTCAGCATCACAGATTTCAATTTTCTACAACATTATGTACATGAGTAGGAAACATGGAAATAATAAACAGTTATGTGATATTTAACAGGAATGACAAAGACAGCATAAAGAACATTACTAGACAGGACAAATACTTGTAACAGGATGCACTGTAAAATATGTATCCCTCACTATGTATATGCATGTGCATCTTCTATATAAGAAACTATCTCCTGTGAAAATAAACATACTTCTTCCCATTTACCATATTACAGTCTGTGATACAATCAGCTCATTTTATGGCTGCAGAAAAATAAAAGCATTTAAGATTATGATGGAGGTTTTCATCAGTTTCTCAAGAGCCTTGGAATAAAATCAACATAAAATTATCAGGGCAGAGAGAAAATCTTATACACATTTTAAGATAGCACGATGAGAAAACAGAATGTGATTTGCTAAATTCACTACATTGTGAGAAAGCCACAAAAAAGTTACAACAAAGAAACTTTCCCACACATCTGCTTTGGTTTGTCAAACCACCACATATAATGTGGCAACAATCAAGTAGACCTACTCTGCATGATCCAATCACTTGGGGATAATACAAGGATATGTCTAATTTACTCTGATCCATAATGATGACTCGGTCAGCTGCAGCTGCTAAATAAATTGAGTTACCCATGCAAAGAAAACTTGTGCAGTATAAACTGTATGTGGCTCATGCACAATCAACCATATAAATCTGAATGCTCTTGTTAGGGTCAAACATTTCAAGAATCTGAGGGCATGCAAAAAATTCAATGATATTATATGTTTTCTCTATAGAAAACAGTGATTTGGAGGACTAAACTGGTCTTTCTACATGTATAGTCTCTACATAGATTATTATAATCTATTATATGTAATATTTGAATGTCACAAAGCCGATTTGACATAGATGATATATAAAAGATATGTCAAATGGTAAAATGTGTTTGTGTGATTTTATACTAATGTAATGTGACAAAGCAAAATGATATGTTATTATTCTTTTAGAAATGAATAAAGGGATGAAATTGTATTAATGAAAAAAGTTTTGGCAATTTTTCAAAGCACCCACTATTTAAAACTGATTCTTATATTATTACATCTAAATAGGTGAACCTTTTCTCTGAAAGCCTGAAGAATAAAAATAGCTTTTATTTCTGATGTTTCTCATATTCCGTAATGTATATATGAACATATTTTCTGATGTCCATGTTGGTGCCAATCTTGGTAGTGAATGACTGAAAAACACTTTCCCCTTTCTAGTTTATAGGCAGAAGCACATACATTCATGCTGAGATTTTTTCCTAGCCAATAAAATAGGCTGGTTCATGGTTTCATCTAACTCAGTTGCAGTCTGTCTTGAAGTCAGAATGTTACATTCACTTATCTGAACTTGCTTTGATGTGTCAACCCCTTAGTTTGTGCACTTTTTGTCATATTACTGTTGCTTTGCCTTATTACTGTTAATTTTTCTTGCATATATTGTTTGCTTGCTTAATATTATTCTTTGCTTTGTTATTTTCTTTCTCTTGTTATTGTTTATTGCAAATTTTGTAAGTTCTGTTTGTTGGACAGTTCTGTCATTTATTTTACATTTAACCATGGTCACTCACTCTACACCTAATTTATATAATTTTCTAGGTCATAGCCAGAAAACAGAAGCTACTTTTCATGATTTATTAAAATTTACACCTACTTTGTTTATTCTAAAATGAATTGTCTAGTATATCTTAATTTTAGTTACTTTTTAGTGTAAACATTCAGATCCTCATTTTACAATTAGAAAATGATAGAAATCAGAAATAAAGAATACATTATTTGCAAGACTTTATTTCTGATCTTTATTGGTTATAAATACAGTGCTTGAAACAATTCATCTTTATGACCATTAAGTGCACCATAAGTACTGCAGACATACTAGCTGTGTCTAAGGCAAGATAGCCTGATGAATCTCTGCTCTGTCATTTAACCCATAGCAGGGAAGAAGAAATGATGCCTTTCCTAAGAGCATGTATGCTCTATTTGATCAACATATCTCTTGATAAAATTCAAGATCGTCTTTTAAAAACCCACATTAAATAATAAACACATTTTGTTAATGAATATTATGTTTGTCCTACAAACTGTTTTTTACCATATACTTTATATCTGATGATTTTGTAATCATTTTCATAATTGTTTAGTTTTATTTTCTTTTTAAGATGCAGACAACCTTATCATGGTGCCCAAAAGTTATGGAAGCTGAACTGTGATAACTAAAATTATGCACACAAATCAACCTTTGCATTTAGTGGATTTTGTAAATAAACACTCCTACTCTTATTTTTGTTGTTTTATTTATAGTTAATGGAAATTGTTTTCCTTACTAAGTCAATATAAGAATGCAATGATTTTCTAAAAGTATTAGACTCGCACTTCTTGTGGTTTTTACGGGGATGTGTGTGAGTGTGTATGCCCGTGGACTTGATGTGTAATAACGTGGTGCATTTAATTCCAATTTCTACTTGTATGGGGGTAGGGGGGGATTAAAAGAAAAATAAATTTATTGTACAAAATTCATTATCCACTATTTTCTGATATCTTTAAATCAAATTCATAATTTCATCCTCTCAGAACTTCTTTTTCAGAAATACATTTAAGCTCCTTTTATATAATATAAACCTCATCTCAACTCCATTACCAGGGCATCTCACTCCACCCATCAATCTTTCCCACCTATATTGCATTTAATTTTTTCATCTAAGGAAATGTTAGGCAAAGATGGTTGAAATGCCTTTAGGAGCAAGTTACAAGAAAAATAAAGAAAGTGACTTTCATGACAAAGAGTTTATTTGTTGAATTGAAGGTTACACTTTAACTTTTTCAATACTGAAATGCTATGATCTACCTAACTACAGATGGTTAGGGAGTTAGTAGGTACCAGTCTTATTCACAACATATCACAACAGCAACACTCCAGATTTGTAAATGGTAGTTGGTTCAAAACTTCAAGCAGGGAACTTGTCTTAGATCTCCAGAGCAAAGTTGATTTCCAGAATCTTGTCTTCAGCTCCTTTACTTGATAATTAGTCCACAAACAAAAACTTCTTTGGCTAAGAAAAATTCACTTTGATGAAACTATTCATGTTTTGCAAAAGGTGCATGTCTGTGTCCCTGCTGTTGATAACTACCCTCTACTATTTTTGGGTCCCTGTATTTATGAGGAATACATTTCTTTTAGGTGTCAGGTTATAATTCAAGTGGCATAGTAACAAGGTCAAGATGTATTTTGGTGATGTCACCCATTTTATCACCAACAGCCAGGATCGACCAAATTTTTGGCTCCAATAGACAATTAAGACAACAGTGGAGAGTATTAAAAAATAACAAAATTCTATTACGGAATTTTGGCCAAGATCCCCCTCCAATCTGGCATGGATCAACTGGGTTATTTCAGTTGTCATTTTTCTAGCAGTGAGGAGTATGTGTACCTTGTTTCACTTGATCTTACTAATTAAAACCCTGTTATGATAAACCCAGACAATACCATATATTAATTCAATATCTTGCAATTTGTTTCTTCATAAAGCCCACTAGAAAAATTCAAATTTCAGGGTACTGTAAGAAAAATGTGTACTCGTGATTTCTTCCTTTTCATCATCACTGTTACCAATTCATTTGTTCAGGCCCCTCACACAAGTCTCGTAATGTTTCCTTTGCATCTAAAGCCTCAACTGGTACACACTTTTCTTTACACCCCTTGATCACCTTTACAAGACAGCCACTCAGTTAGTTGTCACTTCCTCTTAATGATCATGTCAGTTCATCTTGAACTCAGGATGCATCTGGATACATTGTCAACTCGGTCATTTTTTAATGACTGCATCCCATTTATCATTCTTCCCTTATGAACACAGCTAAGGAAAAATACAAAGCAGTGAAAAAAGTCCTTGTCATATTTTTTTTTATTTATTAGAGAAAAAGTGGGAGAAAATGTATACTGTAAATTTGACATACCATTAGTCCTTAAACTGTGGCTGAGTGGTTAGAACATTTGCATGAGACCCAGGTTCAAATCTCAATTGAAACTTCCTGATGTTATTGAACGGGAGGGGTCTATCCCAGCATGCAGCACCTTTGGAAGGTGCCTGAAAACCATACCACGGGTTGACCCAAACCTTGTGAGTAAAATTAAGTAGACAGAACCCTTGGGTGCCATCAATAGCTGTGCTAGTATTAAGTCACAAGCCATCATGGCCAAGGAATTGAGCATGCTAGATAACATGCTGTAACTAAGGTCTGCTCAGCATAGTTGCAGTATAAATCATAGGTGGGCTCTGTGGGTTTTGAACAAACATAAATGCACCTGAGCAAGCATCGGCAATAGGGATTGGCTAGCTACCCTACTAGATGGGTATCCTCGAATATGAGTGACCAGCTATACATTAGTCCTCAAAGCATCCAGAACCTTTTGCTAATGTGTCTCCAGCTGCACAATATCCTGGCAGTAAAAATCAGGTGTCTTGGATGCAAAGAAGTCTGAGTGTCTGCCTCATTTTTTAAGGATTTCACATGAAGATGGATGTCCAGAGAATGGAAGAGGTGGTAATTTGTTGGCACAAGGTTTGGAGAGTAAGGTAGATGGCACAGTGTCTCCCAGCCAAGTTGCTGTATGGTATCCATGGCCACCCAAGGCCTGGCATTATCATAAAGGAATGGTACCCTCTTGCAATTAACCAATGGCTCCATCTGCTGGGAATACATGTCTACAGTGATTGTTTGGCTCATTGGTAGCAGCTCATAGTGCACCAGATACAGAGTATGATCTTGTGGCTCAAGGTCCCATGGTCACAACCAATGTCTGATGCAGCTGGGAGTGTTACAGGACCCATTTTTCGTCATTTGTGAACACTATCAAATATGGGTATGTTGTGGTGCCAAGAAAAGAAACAGGCTGTTCTGACAGTGTGTGAGGTACCCACTTGTACATCTTCCTTATGCAAGTATTAATACTAACATTTGGCAAGCTCACCACAGATTTCGTTGTTCTCTATAGCCACCTTCATTATCCAGGACCTGTAGCTGTCCACTGCAGGATTCATCACAAAGGAACAGGTCTCCCAAATTGAACTTCACAGCATTATCCCCAAAGGTTTAATGTATTCTGTAACATGATGCAGCTGCAGACAATCCCCACCATAAAGCAGAAACCCTGAACAAGCTGCTTTGACACCACCATGTTTCCTTGCTGCTGCTCAAGGTAGGACTGATATGTGTGCACAATGCATTGGTGAAGAGGAATGACCCCAACCCCTTTCCCAACATGATACACTTATCAGCATATCCATGATCACTTCTTCTGACATAATGTAAAAAAACAGCAAGGACTTTTGTTGGTTACCTTATATAAATCTTGATATATGATAAACAGGTAGGATTTGTCTGGCCATAATTTTAATAATTTTTCAGGACTCATTTTTCATGAAATTTACATGGACACATAGGCAGACATTTTAGTACAAATAAGAGTAAATACTGACAATACTTATTCTGTCCTGATGAATTAAAAATAAATAAATAAGACAATTTTGGTGTAATAAATATATTTATTGTGCTAAACATGTGTCCAACAGCATCTTGTGTAAATGTTACCAGTTACAAAATTTGAAATCAAGCTCAACTTAAAAGTGATTCAAACAATTTTTGTTAAAACATCTGAATAGTTTGTCAAGGCACTTGTACTTCGCCATTTTGAAACCTGAAAATACAAAAATATTTTGTAAGAATATTAGTACCTGGAAATTAAAGACAGAATCAATTAAGAAAGAAAGGTAATTTCTAAATAGAGTTACTTTCCTTGTGATTCAATGTCAGCTATGATTTACATTCATTAAGATACTAATTCTCAAACTCCCTGTAAGCCATAATAACAGGAGATAATAGATTACAAAAGCGCAGTAAAACAATATATTTTCTTCAGCTCAGACCAATTCAAGCTACATTTTTAAGTCAAGGATAAGAGCTAAAATGTGTAACTCTAAAAAAAATTTACAGATGGAGTTACAGATTGTGAAAGAATCTGAGAAAAAAAAACTTTAAGAAAAAAAGAACAGGAAGATAATTTTTGAAAATCAAAGTTGACTGGAAAGCAAGAAGAGTTCCACAAGCAAGAAAGGGCAATAGAAGAAACTGTTAGTATAGAATTTACACTTAATTTAGCTATTTCAACTGTAAAATGAGACCTTGCCACCAAACTAGTAGTATGTTTAAATTCATTAAGTCTAGTTACCATAGAGGAAAGCTCATCAGAATAATTACCATGAAGATATTTATTAAAAATGTATAGGAAAGCTACATTATGGTGATGGGAAAATGACTGAAGCCAAGATTCTAGGTCAAGACCAATAACATTGCAGATTCTTTAAATACATAGCAGAAGCACTAGACCAGATGTGGAAAAATGGTAAAGTTATAAATGTATAAGATAGATTGTGGCAAGAAAATTTGTCTAGCATAACAGTGGACCATCTTAACTAGCAATTGATTCAATATAATCTTTCCACTTTGTGTCAGCGGAAAATGTTAGATCGAGAAGGCACAATGAGTCACTCTCCTGGAGGATAGCATAAACCATTATGATGGAAGGCAAAAAAGGTTCTCTCATACAATTAAATGAGCAATTTCATTTTGGAAGCATTAACAAGTCATTTCTTACCCCAGTTAACAGATTGTAGGCCATTTTTGGGATCAGCTGCCAATTTGAACATATCAAACTTACTATTGAGACAGGAGTAAAGAGTTGTGTCATCAGCATAGATACCAAGTTGAGAACTGATGATATCAGGAAGGTTGTTGATGGAACTTAGGAACAAAGTAGGTCCGAGGAGAGAATCCTGGAATCACTTGCATTAATATATAAACATCTAGAAGAGTGGCAATTCAAAACTCATTTCATGATGAGAAAGATCGAATCAGACCAAAATTCATCCAAAAATACTATAACCTTTCAACTTGTGAAGAAAACCAGCTAGCCAAACTCTGTCAAAACCCTGGGGATATCCAAAGCAACTGTCCATGCTTCACCATTCTTATCTAAAGCTTGATAAAATCTTTCAGCAATAACTGTCAACACATCAGCATGAATAGGAAAATGAACATTGTTTGTCTGTACAAAAGAAGACCCTATTCAGGTGAGAACCAGGTCTAGGCAAATCAAAGTTTATTGGAACATCTAGCACTTTGCCAAAAAGAAGTAGAAGGCTAATAAGCTGATAGAAGGATCAGACATGAAAGTGAATTTTTTCAAATGCAAATAAACAAAATGAATAGCTGAGCAACTTTATACAAGTGAGAATAGTGTCTTTGAAAAGGGAAAAAAATTTGTCTAATCAAAACTAATGAATTTGACAGTCTGAAAACTGTCATTCAGAGTTTTTTTATGCTTTGATATTCATGTAAAATGAAATATTTAAAAGCAGATTGCTCAAACAATTCAAATAGAACAATGACAGTTTTTTTTTAAAAGTCTGTAACAATAGGATTACAAAAATAAATAATTATGAAACAAAAGGTTGCCAGTAGAAATTTTAAATTGCAGTCAAGAAGCTTGATGATGTAATAAGTAATTGTTTGACTAATGAGTGTTGGCATATCAGGTTGTTACTCTATTGATGAAACTTGAAAAATAGAATTGTCTTCAAGTTGGTACTATTTATCTGAACTTGTTCTGCCATTTTAGGAAATGCTGGTAAATTCTTCCACATCAGATCCAATGAAGAAGAAAAATTGTTGCTTTTGAGTTTTAGCCCTACTTTATTCAGTCAAGTTCGGCATCCTAATGGAAGATGACACTATTCTGATTTGCTAGAAACACAGAAGAATATCCGGCAACTTCAGTTCCCATTAGGAATTATTACAAGTAAGACACTTTTTTGTAGCATATATGTGTTATACTTTCTCTGTGTGGGACAAGTGTAGATATGTATATATAATTTTGTGTATGACTTAGCAGTATAAAACTCTCTCTGAGAATAAAGCATGTATGTCATTCTTTTTCTTTTAGCTATTCAATTCCATCCGTGAAATAATTGGTTAGTATATAATGCATATAATAATGCCCATAATGGGGGGGATAAATAGGAGAATATTGATTTCTTCCATCGCTCACCCATTATCTGGTGACTTATTCAATGTAATATATTTAATCCCCATTTTGCAAAGTAGCCCTTTTTGCCACATCTAATGCATGTTGCATTCTGTGCTGCAGTGGCCAATGTTTGATCTTCAGATAATCTGTCAACATTAGTACTGAAAAGAGGAGCTGCTGCACTTAATGCTGTCTAATGCAGAATAGGATTCTGAAGTCTTGACCTTATTCAAGAGCTCTTGCTTGACCAAAGGCAGTTGAAGTTGTTGATGGATACTTTGAGATATTAAACCACTTATAAAAGCATCCCATGTAGCCTCTATATTTTTTAGCATTGACAGCAGTCTTGACTGATTAGTCTCTAAAAAGCTTTACACCTTTGCCTGCTGACGCCTGTTTTAGGTTTCATAAACAAGTTCAGTATACATCACAAGTTTCAAAATCAAAAATGTATTCAATACAAAGAAGGAGCAATTTAGTTAATACATATATTCAGTTTAAAGCTAAAGGAAAATTGTTGAATACAATACAAAAATAACTAAAAACAAAAATAATTTTATAGATTATGTTATCATTTCATAATAACAAAAAAAGAACTTACTTCTGTGATGAAGTTTAATATACATTCATAATAACCAGGACACAGCCAAGTTTCATTGTGTGTTCCATTATCAAAAAGAGCCATTCTTTTCATTGGAGGATTCTGGGTTGCCTAAATATACATAAAAGAGAAAATATGAACACTTCAATTGAATTCTTTCTTTTACCAAGAAATTGTTTGAAGCAATATTAAATGCAAAAATAATCAACAAAATTTCATTACCTTCTCACTGAACAACAAGTATTTTGCAGCCAGTATGTAAGATTAAATCAGTTTTTAGTACATATGAGATTTTATTGTGTTGTCATTTCAGCCTTCACATGACGTGGAACTCCATCAACGTGCACTGACTGTGGACTATTAACCTGTCACATGACCCATTCGAAATTTAGTTGTGCATCTCTGTGGGGAATTTTCACCCAAATGTCTCCCACTTCATATGCTCCTTGAATATTCTGAGATTCAATGGGGGACATAGCCTCGATGCCCCATATACGGGTATGGTACCTATAAAGTGCATCAGCTGATGCAGTAGCAGGTGAGTGATTATCTTTAGGCGTAACATTATACCAGTAGACCGCCTCTAGGATAGAGCACTGTTTTCTAGCTGCAATGGTTTTGATGCTTCGGTGACTTCTTTCTACTATACCATTCCCGGCAGGTGCATAGGCACATCGGAACCGCAAATGTACACCCCAATTACTCAAAAAATTTTTCAAATGTTTGCATGTGAATGCTGTGTCATTGTCGGTCAATATCTTGAGTGGCGGACCTTGTTCATAAAAAAATTGTCTCTGACGAACTACACTAGTAGAATTTTGTTGACATAGTGGTCGCTATATCGCAAACTGAGAGGGTCCACAATCAATAATTGTCAGAAAGTGTTTACCCCCATGGTGGGTGATGTCCATTGCTAACCTATTCCAGTTGTCCCTCACGTTCAGTTTTCCTTTTTGACAATGCACCGAAGCTGGGTCAATGGTTTGGCACACCTCACATTCCTTGACAACCGCTTTTACAACTTCTGATGATACTGAAAGGTCTATCAACCTAACAAAGTACAAGGTCCTTTTCATGCCCGGTTTTCCGGTGGATATTAGCCACTTGATGTGCCTCCAACTTGGTCTTTGCAGTGGCGCATACTGACTGCACTGGCTCCGTTCCCTCCTGGTCCGCTGGTCTGCCAGATTCATGCTGGATTTGACCAGTGTTATGTCCACCATCAAGCCATATTCAGCTACAAGCTCGCGAAGTGTGTTCAACCATCTCTGCACTAGCATTTCCCCAGACGCCTTCGTATTTATTCGAGCCTTGCCAGTTAAGGTGTTCGAAATCCACTGATGAACACATGCTGAATCAGTAAAAAGATGTACTGTTGACACCTGCCATTGAAGAGTCAAATTGACACCCTTTATCATTGCATCTAGCTCAGCTAAATTGATGTGCTTAGCATCTTCGAGTGCAGCCACAACACATCCTCAGTGACGTTTCCATTTACCTCTAATTTGACACCTGTGGCTACGGAACTCACATCTACCCACACATTCATCTCGTGGCCACTCACACACCAGTCTTCTACTGGATTGGCCTCATGTATTCTAGCAATTATATCAGTTAGCATGCAATTTATAGAGGCATACTCAACCTCGTCATCCCATCCTGTGGTTAGGGCACTTGCTTGTTGTTTCACAAACACAGAGGCAACTTGTAGCCAGCCACAAACAGGAAAGTGGCCCACAAGTTTTCCACATAAGGAGAACACGCAACGACGAGTTATCCTCATGAGGATATCGGGGATCTCTCCACCTCGACTCCATCGGAGATTACCATTATCACTCCAGACCTGCAGGCCCAACACCTTAGTTCCGTCTTCTAATCTCATCAGTTCCTTGTATACTAGTCCGTACTTGGACGGGAGGACTCTCACACATGCAACAAGAATCAGACTTTTATTGACATAAATGTTGTCAATATATGCCGATATGGCATTTGCACTGGCTTTGTCTTGTGACAATACTGTGTCAATTACAGCTTTCATAATGAGAGGTGCCACATTTAAACTGAAACCCAGTTGGGTGAGGCAGTATCTTTGACCCTTCAATATGACAGTTTGATAGGGCCACAGCGCCTTCTCAACATGTATCTGCAGATAGGCTCTCTGTAAGTCCAATAAAGATACATTGGCCCCCAATCATCACCATTCTCACAACTTATGTGCACAAACCTCTGAGTTAGCAGTATATGGTTCCACAAAACCATTCAACTCATGGTAATCCAGTAATGGACGGACCTTCTGCTTGTTCTCTTGTATCACTGCCATTAATGGGATTAGACACTTTGGTGGACCAAGTTCGTCTTCAGGGTATGGTTGCAGCCATCCATTATCCAACCATGACTGAAGCTCTCTTTCATATTCGTCCCGTGCATAGTCAGGTACTGAATATTCTGCCACTCTCTTCTTCAGGGTTATAGGTGGTTGTCCATTTGTCCACTTCCATGAGGCTGTCCATACTTTGTTACAACGGTCGCAATCTCCACTAAAGTCAGGTTCAATGACGGAAATAGCAGTACACTGGGGCTTACTTTCTTCAGAAAATTGAACTTCTCCTGAGGGATTGATGTGCACCCTTCCTAATTCTCTGATGGCATCAATCCGAAGAAGAAGATCAAACCCAAGTAATGGTTCATCCACAATCAGGGCATCAATGTACACGGATTGAGCATGACTAACATTCAGCGTAATATTGCCCTATTGTTCAGGATTAATCTTAAAGTGAGTAAACTCTTACATAACCCAAAGCAGTGTAAAAGAAAAGTGTTTTATATAGAGATAAAAAGAATTGCTTTATCAGCTAATTTGACATCATATTTAATAATTTAAAATATAATTTTGATAATTCTCTAGTTTTCTATTCTTATGAATTGTCTGCCCATTGATTTTGTTTTGAGTGAGAAATAAAAAGAAAAACTAAAAAGAGAGAAGGGAAAGAAACAAGAAAACAACAAATAGAAAGGATATTATTTTTACACATTAAAAAAAAAAAAATATTAATGATTGCTTGTGAAAATTTAAGTTTTCTTATTTTAATTTTCTGATTGTGGTAAAAAAAATGAGAGAAAAGAAGTGAAAATTTACCAGCACCAGAAGCAAAAAGCTAGAAAGGTGGAACTAATACTTATAATATAGGGAAGTGCCAATGTATTATGGGTGAGTGGTGGTTGCATAAAAGCTGTTGGGTGAGCAGTTTGTTTTTTTTCCTTTGTGAACAGATGTTGGCGAGTGAATGGACAGGAAAAGAAAAGGAAAGAAAGAAAAAGAGTTTTTTTTAATTTTTTTTTTTATTGTTTCTGTATATCAGCAAGACTACAAGGAAGGAGGAGGAGAATGTGTGTGGCCAGTGACACAATCAGACCCTTTGATGGACAGGGAGATATAGTGGCATGGCACATGAAAATGAAACTGGTTGCTAGGTTGCAACATATCACTGACCTGGCAAGTCTGATCCCACTGTACCTTGAGGGGGATGCATTGGCTCTCTATATGGAGATGAATGAGATTGAGATGACAGATGCTGAGATGATTGAATCAATGCTACTCAAGGGCAGACTAGACTAAAAGTTCAGGATAAGGATTTTTGTGCTGAATTTGATGGCAAAAAGTGGACCGTTGAATGGTGCTGGACCACCCATATTAAAGAACAGGGTGAGCTTATATGAGAATTCCATGCAAGAAGAGTGGAGTTTGAAAAGGTGGTGGATAGATGGGTTGAAGAAGGCATCTTAGTCCCTTGAAAGAAGAAGTCCACAGTGGAATATTGCCAACCAACCAACCAAACATAAAGTAAGGCCAGTACTAGATTTTAGGGAGTTAAATACATACATGTCATGCCACACAGGAAGTGATGAAGTTGATGTATGTGGAGAAACCATATGAGAATGGAGACAGACGATGAGTGCTGCTACTACTGTATATCTGCAATTACATGCAGCAGAGAATCTCTGAGAGTAACAACTTGTAAAGTACAAGAAGGCCACCACCTTACTAGATTAGAGTTTTGGTTGTATGTTGCACCAAAAATCATGATGGCAGTGTTCAAGACTGTACTGAAGCAGGAGGAGACAATAGGGCAGGCCACAAACTCTTATATAAATGACATCCTGGTGGATGAGATGGTTGTGCATGCACAAAAATTAAGATGCCACCTCAAAAAATATAGATTAATATCAAAACCTTCATAGTCACTTGACGGGGGCACAGCACTCTGGCTAAAGTTGCAAAATGATAAAGAAACTGGCGATTTGGTGTTCCGAAGGGGTAATGAGATTCCATCTGTGATGGATAAGATAAGTAAATGAGAATTGTTTTTGACATGTGGGAAGCTGGTGGGTCACTATCCTATGGCTGGATGGTTGAGGGTCACATGCAGCTATATAAAAAGACAGGCTGAGGAGATAAGTTGGGACAACCGAGCAAGTGACAGAACACTCAAGATGATAAAGGATATCACCGAGGAGGTGGAGCAAGAGGATCCAGTGAGAGGAAAATGTCATGCGTACCAAAAGCTGGACGATGGTGTAGTTTGGTGTGATTCAAGTAGGTATTGTATTTTAAGTAGGGCAAGTAGCATAGCAATAGGTGTTGTATTGGAAGTAGGGGGTGTCAAAGTGGAGGACGCTGCTTGGTTGAGGAAGAAAATGGATTCTAATTACATAAATGTAGCAGAATTGGAAGTAGTAATGAAAGGCATCAACTTAGCACTTCAGTGGCAGCTGAAGAACATAGAGGTGAAGACAGACTCAATAGCAGTGTTGGCGTGGTTTGTGTCTTTTATTACAAAGAAGAGCAGAATATAGACTAAGGAAGCAGCAGAGATTCTCATAAAGCATAGATTGGGAATTCTGGAGGACGTCCTTAAAGAGTTTGACCTACATGTTAGAGTCAGCCTTGTATCTTTGGAGGCTAATAAGGACGCTATATTTGACTAGGAAGGTAGACCTGACTATCTCCAGGGGAGTTGTGCGTAGAGTAGTGCGAGCATGCCAACAATTCCAATCAATTGATCCTGTGCCAAGTATGCATGAAGCCAGTGAAGTTCAAACAATTGGTCAAGACTAGCAATTGATGTCATGCATTATCAAAATGGTCAATTGCGGGCCCAGCAGAATAGCTATATAGCAGGAGTTAAAGGGAGAAACGGGGACAGCAGTTGCATCTATGCTGAATGAGCTATTCTTAGAGAGAGGCACAGCGGAAGAGGTCCTAATGGATAATGGCACAGCTTTCAAGTCAGCGCCAGTCAAGGCAGTACTGGATAGGTGGAATGTACGAGCGTATTAAGGGCTACATACAGATCTAGTGGAAACGGCATTGTAGAGAGGGGGCAAATATCACCAAGTGAGGCGATCTACTAGTATAACATGTCCCCTCAAGTAGGCCAGGAGGAGGATTCTGTACTGCAGCATGCAATATTTCAGTATGAGTTGAGACATCTACTGGTTCCCCTGAAAATGAAACAGCGGCGAGGCAACCTGGTTCAATTTAAGTTGGAGAGGAGGTATGGATAAAGCCACCTGGTCCTCGCTGCATCACACCATGGGGGCAGGGAATGGTGACTGGAGCACAGTCACAGAATAATGTTTCTGTAGATGGAACCCTTCGGCACATCCTGATAATGGTGATAGTACAGCAAGGCAAAGTGATAGTGATACATATAATCCAACATGTGCATCAGAAAGAGAGGTGCAACCACCTTATTGGGCACATAACTAGGTGGTATGAGGATAATCTTGTTGAGATCAAGGTAAAAAGATGAGAGAAAAGAAGTGACAACTTACTAGCGCTAGAAGTAAAAAGCTAAAAAAGTGTAAGTAACACTTATATAGGGAAGTGCCAATGCATTATGGGTGAGTGGTGTTTGCATAAAAGCTAATGGGCAAGCAGTTTGTTTTTTTTCCTTAGCAAACAGGTGTTGGTAAGTGGACAGGTAGGAAAGGAAAAGGGAGGAAAGAAAGAAAAAGAGTTTTTTTATTGTCTCTGTATATCAGTGACACTACACTGATGGATCATAATTCTTAAGTTAATGATTGAATAAGCTCCTTGCAAATTGTACAACTATAAAATATCTCTGGAAATTATTAAATATTTGAGCTTAACAACATTAACCATATATTGCAATTAACAATCATAAATATGAATGTGGTTCATTATTTAAAGAATACAACTAAAAAGATTTGAAATTTTCCATCTCGCTGAACTAGACATGAAACACATAAGAGCATTATTGTCTTGTCCATCTTCTTTTTCTCACTGAAAGCAAACAGTGTCTATATCTTTTCTGTCTTACCACATACAATTAAAACAGAATAATCCACTATTTATGAGGTACTGGCAGAACATAACGTACATGCTAACTAAGGAACAATTACAATATGATGGCAAAATTAGATTGTAATAAGAATTTTATCCACTTAACACTAGGCACTTGATTTTGTATGACAATGTTTACAAGAGTCAAGAATCAGTTCTTTGACATGGTATCAATAGAAAATTTTTTTGTGAGTGTAATGCTTAATTTTACTAACTATAATTCTTTTCAGATTTGAAACAGCATGTTTATTCCAATTGCATGGAAATGATTTCAAAAATTTCTCCCTCCTCAAATTTATAATACAAAACACATAGATGCATGCTGGGATTTTTTCCTAATCAATAAGATAGGCCACTTATCTGTCTCATCAGATTTAAGTCTGCTTGTTTTTGTCTTGAAGTTAGAACACTGCAATCCTGTGTCTGTATTTTGTGTGTTAACACCATTCTTAATTTGTAAACCTTTTTACCTTATTACTGTTGTTTTCCCTTACATATAATGTTTACACAATATTATTTCTTTTACCCTGTTCTTCTCTTTTCTTTCTCTTGTTATTGCTTATTGCAAATTTTGTCAATTGCTTGTTGGGCATTTCTGCCAATTACTCTAAAGAGTATTATGTTATTATTCAAACCTATTATTTTATTTTGTATAACAAACTTATTGGGTTTCATTAGTATCCAGATGATGATGATTTAATTATTAATTTGGTACAATTTCTAATTAGTTGTTAACATTTCTAACAAAATCTATTCTCAAAGCTATTAATACAAAAACAGAACTAGTCATCAAGTCTTTGAAAAATCAAGCATAAGATTTTGACCTTTTTAATGAAAGCTAAAAAAATATAAAAATGAAAGTGAAATTTACATAAGACATATTGTAGATACACAATTAAACATTTTTTGAAAACAGAAAATATATTTTTCAATTGGTCCTGCTTATTTTTCTTTTCCATGTTCTTTCTCATCAAATCAATGAAAATGATAAAAAGACTATCTTCATAAAAAGTTAAATACCATAACAATATTCAAAATTATAGGAAGCTATTTTATATTATTATATTAACTAATAAAATCACTGGAAAAGTATCTGTACTAATAACAGAGATTATATAAAATAAGTATAACAAGAACATGAACAACTGTGATAAATAGATATCAACACTCCTTTTCCATAATGGTGGCTGCTTACCTCAAATAAAGTTTTCATCATTTGCGGAGGAATGAGGTTGTCTGTCAGTCCTGATAAATACATCACAGGAACTGTGATTTTTGGCACTCTTTTAATGGAGGGAAACTGAAAGGAAGAAATTAAAACTTTCACTGTTCATTGGTAAATTTAGTCCCAAGAAGCTTATTTTTGAGATTTTTAATGAAGATATCAGAATGAAGACATTCACAATACAAGTAAAACTTTAATTTTTAACAGATAAGCATCTTAACGGTTTTTTACAATTCATAATCTATTAAATTCTTAAAATTTCACTTATCTAATATTTAAAAAAAAAAAAAAAAAAAATTGTGTGCATGTTCACTTTAAACCATGAAAATTAGTTTATATTTATATATATATATATATATATATATATATATATATATATATATATATACACACACACACACACACATATCCAATCAAAACTTACTAACTTTTACACACTTTAGCATTGAGAATATTTGTCACACATATTTAAATATTATCTGTTATTTCATTACATGTGACATGTATCTAAGCAATAAGAAATAGTCAAACACAACATTCCATTGATCTGCGTCTCTTTGCTTTTTAACATTTTTTATCATTTCTATCTTGATTTCTGATGAAAGTTTAATAAAGTGAAACATGTTAAATTAAGATCTGTTTCCCACTTGTTCTTTTTCCCCATCATTTTTTTCAGATTCCTATTCACACTCAATACACACACACACACAAGCAGGGTGATTGAAAAGTAACATCCTATTTTATGTTTGATGGATTCTCCTATCTTGTAAAAATTATAGTTAGATGGGAAAGTCTATCATACATAAAATAAGGAGTTACTTTTCAGTCTCCCTCTATATCATCATTTGTTTTATATCTAAATTAATGATTCATATGTAAAAGAGATGAGCCATCTAGCTACATTGTTTTTATTCCTTACTTTCTTTGAATGCATCAAACATTGTCATTCTACTACCCCCTTTATATGTACTATTAATATTAATTGTAATAGCTAAAACTTCTTAGATAAATCATTGTCACTTATTATATAACTATATAGGTAGATTAGAATGACTGTTACCTGAAAAAGGCAGGTTTGTTTAGAATTAGGTATGTAAGTCTTGCTTGAAACTTATTCTTTATTTCTAATCCATGCCTCTTACTAACAATCAGTGAAATGATGATCTGGAAATTGTCATAAAAAGCAATTAAAGTTAAAAGGAAAGGAATATGTCAAAATTTAGTCATTGATAATGCATCATCCAAGAAATTTAAGATAATACAACTTATGTAAATTGATGTTCTGATACTGAAAAATACAATGAATTGTGACAAACTAAATCTAATAATCTAAATAAATGAGAGTGTTAAGTAATTGTTTGAAAAATGACCAAATGCTCATTAAAAATATAAAAAAAGCTCTCCAAATTAAAATTTTTTGTATTTGCATTCAACAAGAATCTACTATGAATGTCAAGATGTGAAGCTTAGTACTTAAATGAACTAAAGAATTGTTTTATTACTTTCCAAGCATTTAAGAAATATTCTAAAATAAATCAAATGAGTATTTTGCAAAAATACATACAAAGCTCTAAAAAATAAATGTTGTACCTCTATGTGATTTACAAACACATTCGGTGATATTCATGTGAAATAAAGCAACATTTACCTGATTTTTAAAGCACCAGTATGGTAGAAGTCCAATGATAGGTATACCAATGACAATGGCACCTATTTCTGGGAGTGATGTGAAAGTGTTTTCTATAAACACTGAATGTATATGCTGTGTATAATAAGGATGTGATGCTAGATAAATTGCTACAGCTCCACCTAAGGAGCGGCCAAACACAATAATTTTATCCCGAGATATTTGGGTCTGGCGCAACAAATAGTCCATAGCTGCTTCAGCATCCTGGTACAACCCTATAAGATAAAATAAAAGTTTCACTTTAAAAATAAATACACAACAAATATAAAATAAATTCAACCTATTTTGGAGATCTCTTCAAAATTTTGGATACCTTGATAGAGATAGGTTTAGGAAGGGTTTTCCCTGTTATCAGTAATGTTCAAATCAGATTAAATGGTGAATTTTGTAACATGTATGCTACCACTATTCATGAGAAATTCTTTTTCTAAAAAAAAAAAGGAAGAACATAAAGTTACTAACTAAATGTATGTCCATTTAGGAGTGGACATGACTTTAAAAATAGGTATACATAAGTAGAGTTGCAGGGTGATGTTATTGGCAGAGAAACAATGTCATCAAACATTGTTCACATTCCAACTTTCACACTTTTTTAGGAAGGCATTAATTAATTTCTCCCTGAACTCCCCTATTGCCAGATTTGAAATACCTTATCACTTTATGTCACAATGGCTGACAGAAGATAGTTGAATGAGCAGTTAAAAAAAAAAAAAAGATGAAAATCTTCCCGTAAATTACAGCACATGCTCAGGCAGTAGCAATGGAAAATCTACTCTTATTGTCAACCATGATAGGACAGATTCAAAATACGAAGAATCTAATATAGAAAATTCAGATTTAAAAATCTTACTAACATTCAGAATTCCATAAATATTAAACCAGATTAAAGGTTTTTCTGATTTATATAATCCATTTAGTAATTATCAGTGTATCAGAGATCAACTATACTTTCATCAAATAAAAAAAAAATCACATGACTGTATATAAGAAGAAATTCTATACCAAGTTGTACACTTACCTATTTCTGATGGAGTACCATGGCTTTTTCCATAGCCTCTGTACTCAACCATAAGAACATTACAACCAAGACTAGTATACAACCCATAGGCATTCATCAATCTAAAAACAAAATAATAAAATTAGAAGAAAAAAAAACAAAAACATGTTAGCTCCCCATGGAACATTTCCAAAACTAAAAATTTTAGTAAATGTTCAATCAATTGCAAGTACATCCATTTTTTAAAACCAACAACACACACATCCATCTGGAACTTATATATCAATAAGAGCAAAGCATGACAATGAGATCATCATTATTGCCTATGATGGCAAACATATAAATGGAGTAATTTAAGAAAATGACCTTTCATGCAACACCATTGGAATCTGTTAATGATACCTTCTTAATCTAGCCACACTGAAAATTATACAGGTACAACTGAACCATGTAAACTTCATAAAATCATCAATATGGTTCATTATGTAAACAATAATAAATTGGTCATCTTGGATGTGCTGATAACTTGTACATGAATTCAACATATTTGTATAACTGAAACCAACATTTACTGGACAATATTTGAACTGTGATTCTTATCATCCATACACTATAAAGAGACTGTTCACGGTTTACAACAATAACTAAAGCTTATGAGTGGTTTGATTATATAGATATATATATTATATATATATGTGCATGTGTGGCATAGTGTTGCAAGATTCCAAGGATGCCATTAGAAAGTATTACACCTCAGTAGCTGTCTAGCCATTGATGCATGAGGTGCTTAGTAATTGACATGTCTTCAGAATACAATCAAGCTACTGTTGTGGAGAGCCTTCACACCAGCCACAAAGCCAAAGAAATCATTGCATGGTTTAAATACCCTAAAACTATGGTGTATAACTTTGCAAAGGTATATGGAGCTTCAGACAACAAGGACAATTTCAGGCTAGAATGCAAAAACTCATAAGAAGCATTTGAGTGCTTCCTAAACACTTTAGTTCATCACTAACTGTGCCAAGGTTGTCAAGGAGAACCCCAGCAGAAGCAGGATGAAAATCACCAAACCAATGGACATTGACATTGAATAATTGGGCATTTTGTCAAGGAGACTTGAATTATAAATCTTATGTGCTCAAAAGACGCCACTTGTTCACCATACCACTGGTTGCCCAACATAGCAACCTCATTGCCAGACTGAAATCCTCTCTACTATTTTGTATGAGGCATCTTGGAGGTGAACAGCAGGTCCTACAACACCAAGGAAGCTCTTAAGGTAGCTATCAAGGATGTCATGGCTAGCATAGACAGGGATGCCATTGCCAAGGCCTGCTCCAGCTTCCAGTCTCACCTGGAGAAAGTGGTAGCTACTGATGGTGGCCACATGATGATTTTTGTACCTTATATATGTTCCTAAAGTTTAATCGAAATATATTAATTTGTTATATAAAAAACACTTAAATTTTATAGTGTTTAACACAAGTGCATATTTCAATTATTGCTCAGTTAGTTATAATTTTATTTAAGGTCAAGATTTATTTTCATTAACACAATATAAGTTCATCTATCAAGAAACAGTTTTTTTTACCTGATAAAATTTCACAATGTTGAAATAGCATGCAAGAACATGAAACATTCTTCAGATGAAATTGTATGACTTTTACTAAATATATAAAAAGTAGAGATGAGTGGTTTAACTGAAAAAACAACTTTTTTTGGTTTCATCTTCACTATGAAACCACATTGAAATTTTTTACAAAACTGAAATTGTTCAGTTTTTTTAAGTGTTATCACTACTGAGTGACCATATCCAAAGAAAAACTATTAATAAAGATTTTCAGATGTTAATAAAATTTAATTTTATGAACATTTATACTGTTATTGTAAGAAGAAAAGATTGAACAAAAACATGTTAAAAACAAAAATTGATTAGTTTTAGGAAATAAATGTGAAATCTATTTGTTTACAAAAGAAATGAAGAAAAAAAAAAGGAACTACAACAGATATGACACTTGGAAATAAAAGAATGTTTTCAAACAAAAACAAAAACAAAAGGAAAATATGACATGATATCTGAAATCTGTTTGTTTCAGTTTAAAAAAAAAAAAACTTTTTGTGGTAAAATTAAGTTAACAACAAAATAGCGCAATAATAAAAAAAAATATTTGCCAGTTTCATCTTAAATGTTAAATTTTATGAAGTCAGATTTAAGGGTAATTGTTTTCTATTAAGCCAGTGTACCCCAATCACAAAGTAAAGTTGTTGTAAACAAGAAAAATGAATGAAGATTTTTTTTTATAAATAAATTTGATTTTTTATCTAGGGAATGTACCTAAATTAGATATTAAGAATAATTAAAATAGTTCTTAATTTCTAACTAGCAAATACAACTAAAATTAGATATTAAAAAAATAAAGTAAGTTTTAATCTCAGTTTTAAAATGTGTATATTTTCAAAACTTGCAAATAATTTTTTTTTTTTTAACCCCAAAGTAAAAATTATTCTTATTTAGTCACTAGTGTTTGGTAGGTGTTTGTTACTGTTCTGCCTATAAATTTTTTCTAAACAAGGAAAATTAATTCATTTTATTTTTACAAGTATATATGGTTTCTTTTTTTGCTTACTTTATCTAGTGAATAAAAAAAATATTAAAATAGTTTTTAATTTCAGTTTTAAAATGTGTTTCTAAAAAAAAAAAAAAAGGAACAGGAGATACTCACAGATTTAGAAATATACACATTCTAATAATGAAATTAAAAGCTTTTAATTACTTTTAATATTTAAATTTAGATGTATTATTCACTAGATAAAAACAAATTTATTTAAGGGAAAAATTAACTCATTGATTTTCCTTGTTTAGAAGAAATTTATTTGCAAAACCCCAATAACAGTTGACTGGCATACCAGAAAAGAATTGCCATATTTTTAATTATTTTTAAACATGAAGAGTTTCATTTTTTGGCTTTTTAAAAGTAAATTATTATCAGCATTTCTGGATATAAATGGGAGAATTCTTGGTCTCTAAATGAAATAATTAATCACTTGAAAACAAGTGTCTGTAAGTGTCAGACAGTAGTTTCAATTGTAAGTTCTTTTTCCACATATAATATCAGTTTCTCTTTTTTCTTTTTTGCTTACTTTATAATTTTTTCTTGGTTGTAGTTTAAGGTGTCTTCTAATTGAGTGTACAATTTCAAGAATATTGATAAAGATTGGTCACTTTAATTTTGTGAAACAAAGTAACATGTAAAATTTAGTCTTGAAAAAAAAAAAAATCATATTTTGCATTTTCAGCTGGTCGAAGTAAAATACTGTTTTAACTCGCTGTAAAAATAATAATTCAATGAATAAAAGCACATACAAATTACATATTTAGAAAGATTATTTTCTTTTCTTTCCAGCCATATGAATATTTTAAGATTGAACCAGAAATACACTAGAAATTGCAATTTTATCAATCTCAAACAAAATCAGATATTGACTGGAAATGCTATCATTACACAAGAAAATGAATGGCTTCCTTAGAAAGCAAAAATACTAAATTAAAAAAAAAAATCAAATTGAAAACCACAGTATCAAAGAAAAAAAATGAAAACTGATACTGAAACAGAAATTGTAAACCTGACCAACTCTATAAAAATCTAATCTAATTTTACAAAATAGTGTAAAGACTGCAAGGATTAGGTTATCTAATATAGCAGTAAGTAGGTAATTGTTTAAACCAATAGGCTCTGGTTGCTTTTAACAAATTATGTAAAATTAATATTAAGTTTTTCTTTTGTCTGTCAATAACAGTTGTAGTAGTTGTATATTACTTACAATTTAAACATGTTTCAGAAGTTGCAAGACCTGAAACTAGAATACCGTTTTAATAAAAATATATTTTTTCCTGAACTTAATGTGTAATTCTACAAGTGTGTCCATCCTCTTGCAAACTTCTCTCTAACTTTGCTTCTTTTGAAGCAAGGTTTATCTTTTTTAGTTGGAGCTACAAATGGATTCGCATCAAAACAACACCTGATGCAAACCAGAATGGAAATAAGTGAAGTTTGACTGCTTAACACAAATTATTTTCACTTAAAGGATGAAAGTGGCTAATATAAAAAAAAAAGAAAAAGATTACTGGCTTCAGTATCTTGGACTCTTGGCTTAGGCAGTTTATGAGAGTATACAACTCCTATTTTGAATTTGATCACAGACTACTTGTAGCAAAACTGACAACACCAGTCAACAAAATAGCTTACTTCAAATCACAGAAACCATGAAAGACAGCTAGGTATAACATTCAAGCCCTTAAAAATGAAAGTGTAAGAATTCTGTGATAAACTAGGGCAGGGGTGGGCAACCTTTTTGACAGTGTCAAAACTGGCCAAATCTCTGACACAAAATCTTTTCACATGCTAACAAAAATTTTTTTGAGAACATATTATTTGATATCTCTTAAGTATGTGAAGAACTTTTTTAAATGATAAAAAAAAAAAAAATCACCCCAGAGCATAAAGACATGGTATTGTAAGAAATTATGTAAATCATGTAAAACTGACTGAATGAAAAAAAAATTATCACAGGTTTTTATAGAAAAGATTTTTTTAATATTTTTTATTAGCCTGTAAGTATAAATGTAACTGCCATACATACTCACACAATTTAAAAACACTATTAACTATCAAAAAGTTAACACTTGTTTTTTTTTTTTTTTCAATTAATCAATCATCATTTTTTTCCAGTTATACATTTTTGTGACTAAAACGCAGTAAAAGGTTTTTAAAAATAATCTTTTGCTGAATTTAAATCCCTTATAAATGATTATTTAAAAATATATATTTACCTTCAAAACTACATTTAAAAAGCCCTGAACCTTTGCCACTTTCAAAAGAAAACATCAGATAAAATTAGAGACAAAAAACTTGTTGACTTTTTTAATATATATTTTCAGTTGGTCTTCTGTTGCTGCATCACTGATGACAGAGATTTTATATTGGGTTTATATTTAGTAACCTTGAGAGAGATGCATACACTACTAGTATCATCTGTCAGGCTATACTATTATAAAATATAATTGAGCAGAAATATAATTAATAATCTTGTTAACTGTTTACAGCACTTCCTGAAGTTTCTTTAGGGTAGCTTTTGCATATAAAGTCTCCTCATTTATGATGCAATGAAAACCTATCAGTGAATGACCAACATCTTTTGCAAACAGATTTAGAAATCCTGCCTTCTCACCAGTCATGCTGGGGGCAACATCTGTTGTGGCAGATACTACTTTTGAAATGTGAATTTTTTGAGTAGATAATTCGTTCACAACTAGTTTTACATATTTCAGCCCCAGTAGTATGCTCAGGTAGTGTTACAAGGGCAACCATCTCTTCATATACTTCATCACTTCTACAAAATTGAGAAAATATGGCTAGCCTAGCTGATGATGTAATGTTTGTACTTTCATCAACACAAATAGAAAAAAAAAACTTACATGAAGATAAATCTTTTACCAGTTGTTCAGCTGTATTCCTTTCCAACTTGAGTATCCTATCAACTGTTTTCCTACTCACAGAAAAATCTTTAATGCACTGAATAATCTTTTCCTTTTCTAAAAAAATTGTCAAAAAGGAAAAGGTGCACATTCTAGCCAAGCTTCTTTAAAATACTCCCTATCACCGAGTGGCTTTCCATATTGGGCAATAACTTGAAACCTGAAAAATAGTAGCAACTAAGTTGGAACTGGGTCTACCTGAAATAAAGTTCATAGAAGTATCAATCTGTTTTTTGTCTTGCTCAGTTCATGACAAATTAATTCTCTTTGTTCCTCCTGTTTCATTGCTTAAGTTCTTCAAAATTTCTCTTTACAGAAGAAGTCCTACAAAGGATTGTTTTGGAACAGAAAATGCATAAGGCTTTATTAGCTTTCTTAATTATGCCAAATTTTTCAGTTCAGTATTCTTTAAATTCTCTATCTTCTTCATTTGAATGACATTGTTACTTAGCTTATGATCATGACATTCTGCACAATATGTAAAGGGCAGAAAATAAAAATACACGAGATAATGATATACATGAAAGAGGATAAAGAATAAAAGTTAAAAAGGAAATCTAATGAATAAGTTTTGTGTGCCAGAAAAAGTCACTGGTGTGCCAGAAAATGTCATCGGTGTACCATGTTTGGTATGCATGCCAAGGGGTTCCCACCCCTAAACTAGAGCTCAAATTGAACTGATGTCCTTAAATTTTGCTCAAAACAACATAGAAGAATCAAATAATGTTAGTTTTGTTATCCAAAGCATGTGAGATCCTGTCAAGAATATCTTGATGGAAAAAGATACTGCTGTGGGATGACAACTCTGAGTTGAAAAGATTGATACAAGATTCTTTCTTGTATTAATCTTTTCAAACAAAAAACAGAAAAATTGAAATGAAAATAATAAATAATTAACAAAGAAAATTTTAAAGAAATAATTAATGCTTTAAGAAACAAATGTCTCCAGAAAATTGTGTTGAAATGTAGAGAAAATCGAAAAATCACATCATAGAATTGAAACAAAGAAGTCCTGGTCTCAAAAAACACTGGAGTCAGATTCCAACCCTGCCCACACTAAAGTTATCAACAAAAATATAACATATGCCAATATAAATCCAATCATTACAAAGTGTGTCTCCAAACATAAACAATAAAGAACATACAAATGAGAAAGTTAAGAAAGCTATAAAATAATGAAGCAATAATAACGCATCACTAGAACTTTTGAAAATAAGTTACCTTCTCTCCAAATTCAATATCAAGATTCTCAATAACATGAAAGAAATATGAAATCAGAAACATGTCCCAAAAAAGGCAGGGAGTTATCATGCATATTTCACTATGGAAATAAAAAGTTAGTCATAAAGATACACATATATACAAAGATATCTAAACTGGATCCATTCCAGTGAAAGTACTAATGAATATTGTATTAACTAGGCTATATGCATGTTACTTTTTCACCTCACTGTCATTAGAGAACCACTATTCTCTGAGTGCCTCCTTCATGTATCAAAACAGATGGAAGTCTGAAGGTGATAAATCCAGAGAATAGAGTGGATGAGACAAGAGTGTCCAGCCATGTGCTATGATTGTCTGGTCTTCAAGCTGCTGTAAAGCCTTGTATTGTTATGTTACAAAGGCACATTAATTCTTCAAATGACATAGCTTGAAGAAGCCTTGTTCTGAGTTTTTGATAATGTGCTTCTCTGATGCTCTAGTTTATAATGGTAAACCCAGGTTTAATTTCCAGTGAATATCTGCTCCTTCATGGTAACTATAAGCGTTCTGGGAACCCACTTTGTACAGAACTTTGAGTAATCAAGTGTCTGCACTAAACTGCAGACACTTCCATGACTAACTTGAAAGCTTTCACAGAGTTTTGCAATAGTGATTCTGCTGTCAGCTATAATGGGAACATCAGCTTGTTTTGTGTTATCCTCATTCACAGTAGCAGCTAGTCTGCCACTAAGATCAGTTTTTCCTTTAAGATAGAAATAAAAGAAAAAAAATGAACTATAAAAAATATCTAAAAAAAAAAAAAAAAAAAAAAAGAATTGAGAAAGGGTGGGGGTGATCTGTTAAAATGTTCTCTTTGGAGTACGCATCAATTTTTCCCCACTATTTTAACAGCTACTGAGTTTTACTTTCTTTTCCAGATCAAAAATATTCAATGTAGCTTTCAACTTGAAGACAATTTGAAAATAAAATTTCACTATTAAAGGAATTGTTCTAATGAGTCTGCATGCAAAATTGCATGGAAAAAAGTATTAGAACAAAAAATGCAGTTTATGTACAAGATCTTTCAATACTTACACAGCAATCTCTTTGATAAAGTGTTAAGATAAGAGCAATTCATTAAAATGAATATAAATTGCTTGAAAAATCAGGTTAGAGATGAACATGGATAACTAAGAGCTTTATATTACCCCAAAAGAATACTGAGCATTTGAACTTAATTTATATCAAAATGGATATCATACTAATATTCTAATGTTGCTAAATGTGATGAAAATATGACAACACTTTCAAATTCTTATTTTAATTCAAATTAATGTTTTAAATTGAATCTTCCCTATTTACAAAAAGTCTTAAACATATTTTAAAATTGATTTAAATATATGTTAAATGAGAGAAACTTTATCTACCTAAAATCTACTTGACCAACAACTCGGTGAAAAGCTCAGTGAAAGTGGGAGGTCTCAAAAGATTCGAACTTAATCCATTTAATAAATGTAGAATAATTATCTTCAATTTTGTTGTACCTGTCAAATGACATCTCTTTAACAGAGAGAGAAAGAGAAAAGAAAAAGAGGTAGAGAAAAAAAATAACATGTGTGGCAGCAGTCTCTTCTTTCTAGTTTATCAAGTAACAGGACTAAAAAAAACATTACTGGAAAGTTGAATTTAGCTTTTGATATGTTCATGATACTGAGAAAGAGAAGTTGGAATTAAAGGAAACTTTAAGACATACATACCTATGTCCTATATTACCAGCATTTCCATGAAAAAATATCACAGTGGGAACATTGACAAAATTGTAGTGTGGCTGTTTAATGAGGACAACATGGATGCTTGTTCCATCTTTGGTCTGTAAATAACTGCTCTCATAGGGTAGCTTCAAGAGACTTGGCATTTCCACATAAATGCGAGCATTTCGTGGCTGCTGAGGATAATACACCAGCATGTCCTGGCCATGGTATAAAAGACCTGAAGTACAATATGAACAATTTTATAAAAAGTAAACATATTTCATGTACATACTTTATTATTCAGACATTCTCAAGAATTAGGATGACAAATACAACAGCTACACCTTTTTCTACTATCATTTTTTGCTTCCATTCAGTTCAATTCACTCTCAAAAGAGCACAATACAATGATTATTCATAATCATGACTTATCTTACAACACGAATAGTCATTATAAAAATAAAAGTAAATAAAACAGAATCTGCAACAAACCTGGAAAACCTTAATCCTTCAAAAGCAAAGCCATGACTGATACTACTTTGCAAGTTTGGCACAAAATGTCATAAATTTTAGTTTTAAAGAAGGTAAAAACTAAAGATAAAAAAGAAGTGAAAACAATATTATTTATCTCTCTATACTTATCTAATGGAAAGGCATGAAACAATATAGATTTTCAGTTTCATTTGTTAAAATAGGTACCTCCACGAGATCGCTAAAAAAAGAGCATAGCATGATGAAAAAGACGCCAAACTTGACGAAAACAAAATTTTATCGTCTAAATGTTTGTTATTATTAAGAGGAAAGGTCAAAGTATTTTTGGGGTATTTTTTTCCATTTTTTAATCGTTCCTAGCACGTCCGAAATTTTCGTTAAAAATCTATTTTTTTTTTGAGTCAGCAAAATTGACCATTTTTTTCCATTTAAAAAAAAACTGGAAATCTGACTTTGAAATTTTTTTAAATATCAATTATCATTTTTTCAAAACTTATTTTAAGAAAATCAGAAATTATAATGTTTATTTAAAATATTTTGAACCAAACTTAACTTAGCTTTTGTGCCAAAAAGATGTAATTTGAAAATAAAACAAAGCAGGTCATAAACTTTCGCGTCTCTTGACATTTGATGAATGATATATTTACAAATTCCATGAGGCTAATTTGTTCTACAGAAGGAGAAAAGTGAAATAATTTACATTTACGTGAACAAATTATTTACCCCGTTATTTTTAACGAAAACTTTCAGCGGTCTAATTTTTTTTTTTTTTTTTTTTGTACTTAGCTTTCACCTTTACGTTTATGATGCTTTATGGGAAATATATTGTAAAGAAATTAAAATAAAACTGTTAAGAGTGACATTAAATTTCATATTTCTTAAGAAAGGTATCTAATTAATTTATAGGTACCTTTCTTATGAAATTTTATCAGAATTGTACATAAAATACTATAATTTTATGTACATTCTACTGTTATTTGTATTTGCATTCATTTTATTATTAATTTTGATATTTCATTTATGGAAAATGTCGTAACTGAGATTAATATAAAATAAGATCATATAAATTTCATAAGATGATACTGATACTTGTAGGTACCCTTCTCAGTTGAAATTGAAAATCAAATTAACTTCTCCACACGTGTTTCGCAAAAAGTAAAAGGCCTTAACAGCGGAGAACAATGCTTAACTCAAATAACGCAACTTAATTATATTCTGGTTGGTCTTCCGTATTTTATAATTACAGCTCGATTATAAGCACAAAATTACATTTTTTAATTACTGGGGATCTTCTGATTAGTCAAAATGATACAATTTACAACGCAAAAAAAAAAAGATCTATCTCATAAGGACACTTATGAAAGCCGATGTGGCTTTTAACTAATTTTATAATATTTTAACAACTTAAATGTAAAATCTATTATAATTAATGAAATAACAAATAATTGTATTAAAATTCATTTTTCATCGAAAAATTTTTTTCTTTCAGAAAATATTGTCCATATTCATAAAAACAACTAAAAGCAAATAAAAGCATTTGAAATTAAATAATATCTTTGTTTTATTGAGTTTTGTATGTTACAATTCAGAGCTGATTTTCAGGTACTGCGTATCCAATTAAAAAAAAAAAAAAAACATGATTTGCATTCCTCAAAGCCCTGTGCTTTTAATTATTGTAATCACTAAAACCAATGCGATCGAATTTCTAGCATTTTCATAAAATTAGTTATGGGGGGGTAATAAATATTTTTAAAAAAATATTTCTACCATGACTTTCATAAAAAAAAACATATTTATAATAATTTCGATCATCTGTGAATAGTTTCTGAAAGTTTCATTAACATCCGATAATTATTTCTATTTTTGCACGATTTTTCAAATTAATGTGTGTCATACCAAAAAACGCTAAAAATTGTCTATGTTATTTACTAGTTCCGCTGATACAAATAGAAAAAGGTTTTTTAATCAAAATTTAGAATGTTCTAAAAGAAGGAAAATTTTTTAAAATAATAAAAAAAAAACTTTGGTCTTTCCTCTTAATAATAACATAAGCATTTAGACAATAAAATTTAGTTTTCGGCAAGTTTGGCGTCTTTTTTCATCAAGCTATGCTCTTTTTTTAGCGATTTCGTGGAGGTACCTATGTTAAAATAACCAAAATAATGGGTACAATTATCTGAAATGTATATTTTGTGACTCATTAAATGACAAACCAATGTTTTTTTGTAAACACCACCAAATCAACATGCTATCAATATTTTTAATTGATTTCACACCAGAAACCTTCATAAAATAGGCTCTCACTATTCTATGAAAGTCAACTCTTCAACTAAATTTGGTTTTTGTTCTGGTAAGAAGTTGTAATAATAGTATCATAAAAAAAAAAAATTTGCATACCTCCCCAGTAGAAAACTGTATACCTGTTATGTTTTAAATTAAGAACAGTATATATGACAAACAACAAATTTTATCTGTAGTAGACAAACTTCCTTCTTGCTTCATGCTTTCCAGCCAACTTTAATCTGCAAAATTTAAATGTAATATTAATTGCTATAAAACACCTTTTACCATCAATTACACCCAGTGGTATAACTATATTTAGTGGTTTGGCCCTCAGAGACTTAGGACGATGTTTTAACCACAGAACTAACTCTGCATCGGTCAATGCTGATACTGGTCCACACCAACCCTGCCTACGTTGTGTTCTTGATCTCAGAGCAGTGGAAGAATGAATGTCGTAGTAATCACAGTGCTGGTTCAAACCATGGTGGGTGCTATATTAAGTAAGAAATATCTTCACAAAAAAAGACGAAAGATTCATTGGGTTAATCTTCAGTTGGTTTATATAGTTCTTGATACAGCAAAAATTAACCCTTCCCGCATCAATCTCTATAGTGACACTGTGCTTCACCTAATAATTCAGGATTCAAAGTTCTTTAGAATCAGGAAATCTGGTGGCAGCTAACATGGATTCCAGAGGTACTCAATGCAGGGTTCTCAGCCAAAATCTTCAAGCTCTCAAAGCTATCTGGTTATATGCACTTCAGCCCAAAACTGGCATGGAGACAAAGGGTTCTTAGAATTCATTGATTCTTCAATTTCCACATTAATCCAATAAGGGTTCTTTGTTCCCCGTTTCTGCTTTCTTAATCAACTTTCCAAATTTGGAGAATTATCCACCGTTGTTACAGAAATTGCTCCTCCCCTAATCTCCAACCTGCTTCACTTCACATCTTGCACCACCACTCCACACAGGGCAAAAATGAGATAATATCAAGCAAGCAAACAAACAAACAATATATGCAAGGCAATTTAGCAGTAAGGCAAAAAGTTCACAGGCTAAGAATTGGTGTTGACACACAAAAGTAAGTTTGGACAAGCAAACATAGCGTTTTAGACAAGGCAGATCTGAACTAACTGAAGTCAGAATGCAAAAACCAACCTATTTTATTGGCTAAGAAAAATATCCTAGCATGCATTTGTGAACTTCTGCCTATAAAAGAGGGGGGGGGGCAAGTGTTTTGCAGTCATTCCTAGACAGATTGAAATCAACAATATGTCACTAAACAAAATCAACCAACCAACAGGAAAGAACTCTTTCTTGATATTAATCCATATAATATCCTACAATTTCTTAAAGAAATCAAACTGCTTCCTAAAATATAACTTCAACAAAATATACATATTACCACATCTAGTAATTATATCTACATAAACATGTACAAAAACTGAGTATCATCTACCATGTATTCAATTGTGAAAGCAGAATAACATATATCATATTTTTATTACTTCAAAGCTCCCAAGAAAATTAAATTTTGGCATTAAATGACCCATAACGAGTTGTAATGCTGTTAAACAATCAAATCAAAACTATACTGCAAAATCTTAGTGATGCAATTTTGGGCAATGATTTCCTTCAATACTGAAATCTCCTTTGTGGATTTTAATTGGTATTTATTGATTGTTGTTGATAAACATTCAAAATTTCCAATTGTTTTCACTGTCCAGATCTTGCTGCAACAACTGATAACAGTTGTTTCAACTTTTGATCCTTATTTTCCATTTTTAAGATGTTTGCTTAAGTCCAATCAGACCATGGGGCATCTTTCGTGATTGAGCAACCCAAGCAGTAATGAAGAATAGTTATTAGTTAAACTACACCTTACAATCTTCAAGGTAATGATCAGTGGTGAAGTTATAATGCAATCATATGAAAACCACCTTCCTCAAAAACGAGTTTGTGTTCTGTGCATGATTTGCCAAAGAAAAGAAAAAATAAAAATAAATAAATCCTAGGTAAGTGTTTATCTGAAGCCTAGGTAAACTTATGCTACTGAGGAATCAGTCAATCAGACATTATCTGACACAAATAAACCATGGTCCTACTCAATTCACCAGCCCTCCTGCTGAAATAGTCACTGACAATGACACTACATTTCACAGTAAACTGTTCAAGAAGTTTTGGAAAGAGGAGCAGAGATCCACATCTGTTTTTGCTGTGCATATGTCTCCTCTGGCAATAGTTGAATGATGTCCACAGCATCAGATGAATTGCTGCGCGGAAACAATGCTCAATAATGGAGGCTGTGTAGTGGCACATTGTCACACCAAAAGATTATGTATCACCCTCCACAGCACCCACTAATGGGATCTCCTACTACTGAGTCTGGGTATGAGACATTGACACAACACCTCTGCCAAAACAAGAGTGCAGACAACTGATGTATGACTTAGGGAGTAAAA